AAAGGAAATAGTCTTTTGGAAAAATATTGTTTTTTATCGTTTGTTTGATCTAGCTCAAGGATGATGCTGCAATATGGAATTCAAAATGGAATTTTAGTGAATACTTAACTACAATGATGGTGTTCTTTATCATGAATTCCAGAACAATTTGAGCTTCCAAAAAATACTTTATGATGTATTTTGCTTTGCCAATATGCCTGTTATAATTGATTTTGGTTTTTCAAGTTTTCTCTTCCTGTGACTTTCCTCATTAGGTTTTTCTCACTTTATATACCTACTTGTAGTATGCTCATTGTTGTTTATATACCTACATATTATATATTGTCTCAAGAGGTCACTTTTTGTTCAGTATTATAGCCCTAGGTTAATAGTTGGTTTGGTACAATTCAGTACAAAGTACATTTATGTCGCAACCTGGAAGAAAGTCCTGATCATCAAATCCTGATATGTTCACCATAAGTTTCTTGCAGATGCCCGATGCTGTGGTTGATTATGATCTTGCCACAGGTAGGTGGAACATTATTCAACAACAAAATATGCTTCATGACAGAACAAGAATACTGTATGGTAAAAATTCTGCAAGTATTAGTATGGACTCCTCAAATTCCAAGCACTCCAGTCTTGTGGACGTGAACTCAGAAGATGACCACTTATGGAATGACCTGTCCGAGTTTTATGCCTGCGAAAAATATGAGGTCCCTTCATTTGATGGAGTTTTGATTCCCTTGACTACTGTTTCTGCACGTAATAAAAAGCCAGAGGATAAAAAACCTGGGATATTGCATGGACATGGAGCTTATGGTGAGTTACTTGACAAACGGTGGCGCAGTGAACTAAAAAGCCTCCTGGATCGAGGTTGGGTTGTTGCCTATGCTGATGTTAGGTAGGATTCACATTACATTGTTGCCATGTATTTAATGCTTATTCATATGGATATTCTTATATTGTTGTATTTATAGAATAAAATAGAAATTCTTGTATATTTCTATGTTAATGCAAATTGTCCAAATAAATTTATTTTATTTGAAGTCAATGATTGGAAAACTTCCTTTTCGTTATATATCTCTTATATATGATAGTTTTGGTGTCCTATTTCAGAGGTGGAGGTGGTTTTGGAAAGAAATGGCATAACGATGGGAGACGTACAAAGAAACAAAATTCAATCAATGATTACATCTCTTGTGCCAAGTTCCTCATTGAAAAGAATATTGTGCATGAAAACAAGTTGGCTGGTTGGGGATATAGTGCTGGAGGGCTTTTGGTTGCTTCTGCCATTAATCATTCTCCAGATTTATTTCGTGCTGCAGTTTTGAAGGTGTTGAAGAATGTGCTTGCTTTTGGGTTTTACTGTACTTGGGCTCTGTTTTAAATGTGTTGTATCTCAAACTCAATTACCTTTTGGTATGATTTCTGCTGTAGGTTCCCTTTTTAGACGCAACCAACACTCTTCTGTATCCCATCTTGCCACTTATAGCTGTTGATTATGAAGAGTTTGGATACCCTGGGGATCTCGATGATTTTCTTGCAATTCGAGAATATTCTCCATATGACAATATAGTAAAGGATGTTCTTTATCCAGCTGTATTATTAACCTCATCTTTCAATACACGGTAAGTTACTGATGTCTTTGCTTTACTTCCTGTCATGGTATCCAAGTTTATGATGTGGTTGATTTGGGTAGTGTTAGGAAGAACTGAAGAAAGCACTTGTGATAAAAGTGACTGCCAAAATATACACTTAAAAATGACTGCTGAGTTGATGTGGATCCATCATGTTAGATACATAGATACTTGGACAATTTTATACTTTTGTTTTCTGAATTTCTATGCCAATGAGTATGATAAGTTGCAGTCTTTTATTGCGTTGTCTACATTACAATGATTAATGGTGACATTTGAAACATCTATATCTCTGTTTCTTGTCTTCAGTTGTGCTAAAGACTGACTCTGCGGAGTTAGAGTCTGTAATGTTGCATACATTTTAAACACGTGCTGTTGTTAGGATTTACTTGTCTTAAATAATCCGTAGAATCTGTTTTTATGTTCTTTATGGTAAATTTTATTTTAAATCATATATCCTATGATATTTTAGAATTTGCCGTATGTTAATATCCAAGCTTCTTACCTAGGGGGTCACAACACAGTTACTTCAAAATATTTTCTTCACATCATATTCCCCTTGCGTCGAATGAAACTAAATTAGATATTGGTGCTCATTTATTAAGATTAAATGTGGGGGTTTGAGATTATATTATGCCGAGTTTCCTTTCCTCTTCCGAATACCTGATTTATTGGCATTGGCCAAGTGGATTTGCTGTCGTTTATTCATATGAAAAATGATGTATGCGTGGAGAACATTGTGGTTTTGGTTGATAGTATGTGGACATGTCTGCTATAAACACCAGTTTCATTAATGGCGTGTGGCCTACATAATGAGCATGTGTAGCTTTCTATGGAAGAAAATTTTAGTAGTTGTAGAATGTGTGCCTAAGTTTTTCCCCCACAAATATGCGAAGAGAAGTTTTTTTTTCTTTTTTGTCATTTTAAGTCTTTAAAAAACTATATATTGAGATCGAGTTTAGGTCTGATCTGATTAGATGCCTCTTGTCCTCTTTATTTGTTATTTGTTAACATTAAAAACCTTTTTTCTTACATTGCAGACACTTATCCTCTTTACATGCTAAACATTAACAAAGACATGCATTTTAAACTTGGGGCATTTTTGGCATGTGAGAGGGAAAGATAAGAAGACCAAGAGATAGATAGGTTAATTATATGGGGATCTAGTGAAAATCACATTTTCGTCACCTGTGTTATCGACCATCCAAATGCACACCCTAAGCTGTCTATTGCCTTTCAGACACCATTACCTATACATTAATTTTCTATGTGAATGGTAAAAGAATCAACAGGTTATACCGTACTAATGGACCTTTTCTTTTCATGACTCAGGTTTGGAGTATGGGAAGCAGCAAAATGGGTTGCACGAGTTCGTGATCTCTCAATTTACGACCCAAAGCGGCCAATATTGCTGAATTTGACCACAGATTTAGTGGAGGAAAACCGTTATTTGCAGTCCAAGGAATCAGCATTAGAGGCTACATTTCTCATTAAGATGATGGAATCTTAGATATCCAACTGAACATTTGCTCAATCACTTAAATACAGTTAGCCCTTTTGAGATGCCTCCCAGTGGAACCTGATATAGAATTGAAATTGTACTTTGGTTGAACCTTGCCAAGATCCAGTCAGGAGCTCTGCTTGGGAAATACTTGCCATCCAAATTCTTTTCCAACTGCTTGGGGCATGCATGGATGATCTACACCAAATGGTTACTACTATGCTAAAACAACCAAACAGAATTGACACTAGAACGTTTGCTGGTTTATCATGTAATTTGGAGTTCGTTAAATGTAAATGTTACAGTTCCTCATTGTTAAACGAAAAGCATAAATGCAATTTTGGTCTTAATGGTAATGCCATCCACGCGTGCACGCACGTATGGAGCTTACATGGAATTTCATATTAGGGATAGCAATCGTACAGCACCATATGATCTTTTCCCGCGTTCGACAATAGTAAGACCAACGATCTCCAAATCAATAAATAACCCATCAATTAAGTTGACAGATATAATAAAACATTACAGCCCAAATTGTATTTGGATAAGTTTTAAATTATTCTATACACCAAATATTCCATAAATCATCCTATAGCTATTCCACACGTCGAATACAATTTACCGTGTCTGAAGTCGGTTAATTTCGATAACCCAACCATTGCTAGGAAGTGGCACACTTCTGATTTTTACTGGGATAATAATTTGAAAAGAAAAAAAAACTTCAATCATCAAAAAGCACTTAACTTTTTGAAGTTGCGATTAATTAGAAAAAACGTTCATGGACTTTTTTTCTTTTAAGAAGACTATTTTTGATTCGTTTACTTTTAAAACCCAATTTGCATATTATTTTCGTTCTCATTTATCACATCTCACAGGTTGGCATTCAATACATCAATGATTGAAAGAAAAGAAAAAGAACTAATCAAGAGCTCACTGATTTGTCAACTTCTGGATGGAAAAACAGCATAAAATCTTATAATAGTTCCTTTGCCGAAACAAAACTTAGTGGGTGAGGCTTAGCTATGATTCATACCCCATATAAACTATAAAGGATATAATTTGGAACAAAAAGGTCGAGCCGAATAAAAAGATAACTTAATAAAGGTTCAAGCAGGGGGTCATATCAACAGATAAAAAGTGCACAATCAATTAACCATTTAATTTATTATTTATTAATCAAACTAATTGGTTATAATTTAATACTTAGAAATAATGCAATTAGCTATTTGATTAATCACATCAGTCAAGAGATATCAAAACTTTAAAAGGGTAGCATAGAAACCTCCAAGCAAAAGGAACTTGCATTTCCTTCCATCGCACATATTTGGATATTTCCCCTATTTGCAATCTGTCGCGCTTATAAAGCAGAAGCTACATAATGGTTGGTGCACGAGGCACGACTGCAACACAGGAGTAACTTTCAGAAGAAAAAGTAAATACATAAATATAAATAAATTAAAATACAGTTTCGGAAATAGCACAAGTATTGATCAAAATGTTGATTCTTGGTCTTTCAGTATATTTTTTTCACTCAAAAATAGGACCAATCCTTATCAACTGATCAAATTGCCTTCGTAACTACCGTGTCAATTGGGAGTAAACAATTGAAAATTCAATATTAAGGATTGAGATGTCAGCAAAAATCCCAAGGAAAAAAAATGTTCCAAGGCATATCCATCACCACATTCGTTCCACATTGCCTGATTCCGTTCTCACCTTAGTCAAATATTCAAGTTTCACCAACATTTAGGAACATATTTAGTCCAAAAAGAAAGCACTAATAGGATGGTATGCTAACCTATAGCATGACAATGAACACTACATTTTTACAGAAGTTGGAAATCCTTTTTTGTATGCAAAGGAAGCTAAGTATATACCAGTAGAAGTTCTACTCATACAATATTGCTTCAAAGTACATCATGGCTTCCCAATATGTAACAAATCTCTAAAGCCAACTCTACAAGCATCTCAAAAAACAAAAGGGGAAAATTAAAAATGTAAGCAACAAGAAACATGAATTAACAAATCCACCCCGCTTGCCTTGCTTTGATGCAGAAAATAAGTTTGTGTCTATCTAGGAGCTTATAAATCATCATAAATCAATCCATTCTTCATGCAGCTTTGGCTGCTGCCCCTACTGGCAACTTTTCACAAATAATCTTTCATGTTCAGTTTCCAAAATTGAATACAGTTGCGGGCAACTTTGCCTTCTCAAGCCTCGGAGCCTTCTTGAACAGTAGGAAGACCCCCTTCTCTGATAAATGTAGGGTTGAGAAACTTGGCCACAAAAGCCCACAATTTGTACACATCCTCAAAATTAGTCAGAAATCCCAGTGAAGCTGTGACAACTTCAAGCCTTACAAAGCTACCTTTTCCATCACGCCTACCATTCTCCATTGGCCTGCAAAGAGTAGTGTCTTGAAGATTTGGAGCTCCACGATGCTGTCTTGAGCTATCAAGAATCTGTATATGACTCAGAAAACCAAGACCAAGCGAGATTCCTTCTTTTTCAGCCAGCTTTTGAACAATCTCTGGATTGATTAGCCCCCTGCTTCTGTCCCTCACATTGAAAGCCACAGCTGCACCTCTTTCATATTTTATTTTTGGGCCATAGATCTGCACAAGATTTGCCTTTTCACCCTCATCAGAAACTGACATCTTCAGTTGCAGTAATGAGGTAACAAGCCAATTAATCAAAAATCGAAGTCTAAGTGTAGTTTTATTGAGACCAAGCATATTGACATGATCGATATGTCGACATATTATCTCTGGTTCCCTCCTGCCCCAATCCTGTCCATCACCATATTCTCCATCACTTGTCACCTCTTCATCATCTAAGCTAGCTGCAGACATGTCCCCCGGCTCTAGGGTCTGGCTCAGGTACTCTTTATGAGTATCTTCCATGCTAAAAGACACCCTTCTTCCCTTGCTGTTGGCTTCATTCTCTTCCAAACCAAAAAACCTACCACCACCATAACGATTACCCTCTCTCCTACCCAGCAACCTGAATTCACCTTCAGTTTCCCTTCTTATGGCACTCTCTTTGACATCAGGACATATTTCAGAGGTAGAGCCATTCTCCAAGCTTTGATGCTGAGCAAGAGACGTTGAAGTGTTGAGCCAAGATCCATTGTTGACTGCTTCACTGGTTCCAGGTTCTTCCCGGATCTCATTCACATGCAGATGGTCTGACCCATTACCATTTCTTGAATAATGATCCACTTCCTCGACATGCTCCTCTTCAGGTACCTCTTTGACTCGGTCTAGTTCTTGTGACATCAGGACAGCAGCATCGAATGACAACACGCGACGGTCCTCATGAGCACCTAGGTTTACCTCTCTGTCATCGTACAGAGGGCTGCCGTACATCTTGGAAGTTGGTTTTGGAGAATGTTGCTTCTGGTTCTTCCTCCCATTGAACCAGAAAGGTGGTAGGGGAGAAGCTATCTTATGTTTATTTGATTGACCTACACCGTCAGACCCCACAGGACTCTGACCCAAATCAATCCAAAATGAATTGTCTGATGACTCGTCCTCACTGAAGACTGGACTCTTTATCACCTCTCCAACCGATATGCTCTCTGTCTCCTCAAATATGGTGCTAGTTCCATCTCTTTCAGAGCTGTCTTGATCCATTTCAGTCTCAAACACATCTCTTACCTGTGCAGATGTGAATGCACCAGAAAAGGCAGGCAACTGAGTTCCCGGACGAGTTTCAGAAGCCTTATCACCCATCCCAGTGATTTCATCATCTTCAATCCCAACCAATTTATCCAAACCATCAACAGAATCACTCAAATACATTGGAAACTCGGGGGTAATCTTCACCATTCCAGATCCAGTACAACCAGACTGATTTTGAAGGCTTTGCATCACCGATTTCTTGATCAGAAGACAACCAAAACCTGTGGGATCATATCCAAAAACCCTGTAAAATGACGTAATTATAAAATCTGGCCGAAATAGGGACAAGCCAAGCGAATCCATGTCCTTGGGGCCCAATGATCCAGCATCCAGTAAGACATGCCAGTTGTTCTGCTGGGCCAACGCCATCCACTGGTAAGAATACTTGGCCCCAGTTACTCTAGACTGCACAGGGAATACAAAAAGACCAGTAGCTGAATCCTTCTTCCTCTTCTTCTTGTTGGAAATCTGTTTTCTCAAATCTGTGGAACAGAGTTTGAGGGTTGGCCATTTAAACCACGCACTGTACACTTTAGCACCTTTCTCCCTGGCTTTCTGAGCCATCCAAGCAACAGACTGGCTCTCGTGATCGAACATGGTCAACAACTTTTTGTTTGTCTGGAAAGGGTACGATTCAGCCAGCAATTTAAAAGCCGATCCTCTACTAACAGTGAAAACAAGGCCATATTCATTCTCAGGAATATTCAAATAGTCCATAATTCTAGTCTTTATATCATGCTCAACAGTTCCTCTCTCAGCACCACCATAAAGTGCATGGTTACTCAAATTTGCAGTTATCTCAGACAAGCTAAACGTGGATGACTCCCAATAATGAATTGTCTGAACAAAAGAGAAGAGTCCAAAACCACAGTAATCAAGGCATACCTTGGGTGACAAATGTGAGTATTCATCAGACCTCAACTCATCAACCTTCTCCGAGGACTGGTACTTGGGGTACATAGTGAGGAACTTGGAAAATGCTTCCTGGAGGCTGGGAATTTCCTCCTCAGACTCAAAGATGCGCTCGGCGGCGAGGGCGGTGGCGCGAAGGAACTCGCGGTGGGCGTGCAGCCTGGCCAGCGATCGGGATCTTCCAAGGCCATCATCCTGGTTGGCAGCAGAGTCAGGGTCCATGTCTTGAGATTTGGGGAGTGACCCATCTTCAGAAGCTTCTTCAAGAGCCTCCCTCAGCTTGTTCTCTTGCAGCTTCCGTAGCATTGATGGGTTTCTCTTAATGTCAACATTGGACTCATCTTTCCTCCTGCTCTTCTTGTCCATGATCAGTGCAGCACAGTGAGAAATGGGCTTCCATAGTGAGAGATGCATGGTATCTTCCTCCTCTCCTCACACAAACCAATCTGAGATTATTTGAGACACTTCAAACAACACAAATAATAGGGTTTAGTTTAGCCCATGCCCATCACATCAATCTAAAACAAATTGAGCTTCAACAACAAAATCTAACAAGATAAGGAATCTGGAATCCTAAAAGACCACACCTCCCCCAACAATCCAATTCATGAAACATGAGATTTTTGTTTGAGAGGAAAAACAAACAACTCAGCTCACCATTTCACACGAAAACCAACAAAGACAAAAATAAATAAATAAATGAATAAAAAAAACTTTTTTTTTTTTTTGTCAAGAACCCAGAATAGATTTGAATACCCAAATTCTCAGAAAAGGAGAGAGACAGGGGTAACAGATGGAAAGAAACCCAAGGAGAGAGAAAGTCAAAAGCTCAAACCCTTCAAACCCTAGAACCCAGATCCCAAAATTTGCAAGGAAACTCACAGCAACTGGAACCCCAAAAAAGAAAGAAAAAAAAAAGAGTTTTATAGAAATGGGTTGAAGGAGAATCGAACTAGAAGTAATAGAATCAATGAAGCTGAATGAGTATCAGACACCTGAATAACCATCAGAGGTGAAGGAAGACCCTCTCTCTCTTGAATTCACTTCAGCATAATTAAAGCTAAGCGCCCCACATCGAATTATCTTTTACTAAGAGAAAGTAAGCCGAAAACAAAGCGGTTTGATATCTACACTCTACTGTTTTCTTCTTAAATTGAAAACCAAAAGGAAAAGAAAAGGAAAAGCAGAGAAAAGGAAAAGAGAGAAATTTCAATTGAGACTCTCTCTCTCTAAAAATTCAATCTTTCAATTTCAACTCTAGAAAAACAACACTTGCTAGGAATCCAGGGAGAAGGGACATTGACTCTCGCAAAAACCAAATGTGTAGTGATATTAAAATAATTAATGGATTTTGCATATACATTTAAGAAATGAGGTGGTGGGACCCACAGGCTGAAGTCATGGTTAAAAGTCAAATAATCAGCTGCCTTGTAAAAGCTGTTATCTGTCCACAAACTTCAAAGCTCCCAATCCCTCTCTGCCTTCCATTTCTGAATCATACCCACCACCACACAACTTAACCATTCTATTTACTATTTTATTTTCAAACATAATCACTCTTTTTATTATTATTATTAACTAATCATATGTATGCAGCATCATTGATGGATATTCAATATTTTTTTTCAATTTTAATTGACATCTTAATAATTGACTAATATTATTTAATTTTAAAAATGAGAGTGACCAAATTTATTATAAAAATGTTAAAAAAATTACAATTACACATTCATAAAATTATAGAAATTAAAAGTTAACTTAAAAAATAATAATAACCATCCTTTCAAAGCTATATCATTGTCACATAGATAGATAAAAAAAACTAGCATAATGTAAAAAATTTTAAGATGATTATCATTAAAAATAATAAAACAAATTCATTTCAAAATAAACATTGACCATTGAATCATATCATGAGTATATAATCATGAATAATTAAGATTAAAATAATCATGAAACCATATAACATTAAAATTTGTTCACTTATATATGCATGTTAGTTCAGATTTACTCTTCATGTTAGCCGTTCCCATATAAATATGGTCATCTCACTGTACATATGTTCCACTAGAATATATTATCAAATATTATGATAAAATAATTTTAAAATAAATAAAATATAAAATGACAAGTATTTAAAAATTTTATTTCATTTAAAAGAAAAGGATAATTTCAGTGTTTTCTTTAATGTCTCACAGAGAAAGCAGTAATGAATATTTTTCCCACTACACCGTTATTATTTATAAAGTCAGACTAATTTGAATCTTGTTAGGTGAATTATTTAATGAGGTAAAGTTCTCTCATTCAAGGTGGAGCAGTAAGGTAATAGTATTTGATATAAGCTGTTTCATACATAGATCATGTTTGAATTAAGATTCTTCTATGACTAATTACCACTTTGGAAATTCAAAAGAGTATGCTACCAAAAATAAATAAACTAAAAGAGTGTGAAGAAGGCCCCGTATTTTGTGTGTTTTTTTTGCTTTTGTTTTTGGTTCAAAGCCGAAGGTGTTGCTTTAAGTTTCAAATTCAATTTAGCATTGATATGAGGAAGAATCTATTCCGAAACCCCTTAAAGCAAAAAAAAAAAAAAAAGAGAAAATTAAAAAGAACGAATCTTTGATCCAGATGGTTAGATTCAACATTCCGAACCCTTAAATGATATAACAATTTGTAATGAGCTTTTAGATAGAGGAACAGTAAATTCAAATAAATGAGCAATGACCAATCAACTTAACCTCCAATTTGTATATGTATATATAAAAAAAATATAAAAAAATAAAAAAAAAACTTAAAACCTCCAATAATACATATATTTTAGTTTGGGAGGAACAGCATTGATCAATTTTATTTTGTTTGATTCTAAAAACAATAAACTTCATTGTGTCAGTGTCTTGTGCTTGAGGGTGTTGTTTATTGAGCCAGATCAATAACAACGATTTCCTTCTTTCTTTATTTAATTTTTTGGTGGAGTTAAACAAATGAGAAATCAGAAATGCATCCCAAAAAATTATAAAAGAATATCAAGTTGATTGAGTCTTGCTCCATTTTAATCTTGATTATCAATTCCAGAAACAATTTCAGTGTATTGCTTTAATTTAATAACTGACATTTTGGTCAACCCTTAGAAGCGGAGGATCAATCAAAATACTAAAATTACAAAATTTCAAAGACACGCCTGTTTGTGCCTAGTTTACAAATTACAATCAACCAGTGACAGGTTCCTTGTTTATGACGTTTATGTGATGTTAACCAATTATTATTATTATTATTATCATTATTACTCAGTGATCAAGGCATAACTTCTGAGTTTCTTGTGCATCACCCACGTTTTGGTCATATCCATTGTACAATTCATCAAGGTAGGTAAACGGCAAACTCACGTTAATGCATGTAGAATGTATGATCTATTTTATTTTAATAATTTTGTTTGTTCAATGGAAGAGAGGTATTTTTATTTTTATTTTTATTTTTTTCATTTTTGTATATATTACCAATATCAGAGATTTACAAGCATTTCAGAGAGGTTTACAGGAGATTTTGCTAAACAGTGCAGAGCCTATAATACTAAACATGAGAGTTTATTCTTAAGAAATTAATAACAATAATTACAATTTTCTCTAAGCTTTAGAGTTTTGGGCAATCATTATTTTTACCCGAACAATTCAATAAATATTTGGGATCCATTTTATCGCGGTGATCGAAATTATTAATAATTTTTTGAAGCTCACAAATACATTCTTCAAAACTTGTTTTATTTAACTACTTTTTTATATTTAGCTACTTGAGCATGGTTTGTTTATTTATTTATTTTATGTATAACTTGAACATGCTTTAATTAGTGGTCTCTAAATGAATTTTGTAGTATCGGAATAGAACATTTATTGTGGAAGCTAAGATTTCAATATTGAAAGCAACTAAAACACTTTTTTTAATCATTAGATTATAAATATAAAAATTTCTTGTCGGGGTTGTGTATCTTTGACGGTTCTTATTACCTCAGCATAACATGCTAGGATATTTTTTTGTTATTTATCTGGCAAAATAAAATTTGTCATATATGTACAAAGTTTTTTTTAATTTTATTATTTCACTAAATATCATACAAATCTTAGGGATATATAATGGATTTTTTTATGAAATCAAATTTTAGCAATTTTGATTCTCTAATTTTTAAATCTCTAATTTTACAAAATCAATAATTTTGATCCTTTTGCTGAATATTTGTTTGTTCACTACTAAAATTGTAATGTTGGTCACAGTTTAATATTAGTAAATGATATAAGAGTTAATACTTAATAATATTTTATTAGATTTTACTTTTATTTCACCTTTTTATCTCATAAAAATTGTAAAATGAGATAAAAATATAAATTAGACTAAATATCATTAAAAAATTAAGTATCATTCTATATATATACTTTAATGTCAAATTATGTTTAATGTTACAATTTTAACTATTTATGGATGAATATTTAATAATGAAATCAAAATTATGAATTTTATAAAATTGAGGAACTAAAATTATAGAATTAAAAATTGAAAGATTAGAATTATGTATTAAACATTATAGAAATCAAAAATATAATTTATCAAATAAAGTACTCTTTAAATTAATAAATTATTAACATATCAATTAATTAATACTTATCTAAATTAATTAGTTTTTAATAACCTCATCATTATTAATTAAACCTAATTTTCATACATTGTTAATGTAATAAAATTCAAATTAGCAAATTAAATTAAAAGTTACTTTAAATATGATATTTAAGTAATTATTAAAAATCATTTTCATTATTATATGAAATTTGTAATTAAATAATTAATCTTTATATATTAAACATGAATTTATCCGATTATTTTGTATGAGTGTTTTACTTCGACAAGAAAATTTATAAGAATTTTTTAACTTTTTATCTAATTTAATTTTTATTTATCATTACTATTTATTAATTAAATATTAATATTTTAAAATAAATTATCAATAAAAATGTTTTTTTACAATACAAATTATTTATCATAAATCTAAAATATAGTTTATACATTTAAAAATATTTATATATACTTATTTCATATATAATTTATATATTTAAATATAATATTTATATATAAAT